TCGGAGGAGCCGTTCGCCCTGTCCGTTGGCTATTTCGACGAGGCGGTGGTTGATCTCCGATGCTCTGGCGGAGAAGAAGGCATCTGTGTGCAGGTCCAAAGGGCAGGTCTGGTATTCCGTCTGGAACACGTTGGGTATGTAGAGAAACAGGATATCGTAGAAGAGATATGCAAAGATGGTGCGGATAGCTCCCCCTTCTGCGTGATATCCCTTCCAGCCCTGGGAACGGAAGTGACTCAAGCACATCTCTTCCACGCTGCACTCGCCTCCAGTATCCAATTCGTCCAGCCAAACGGTCTTGGTTGAAGCCTGTTGTGTGCCAGGTTTAAGACTCGGAGACCTTTTCAACTGTATTCCTTCGACATTGATTTCAATGGGTTCTGCCAGCCGGACGTGTCCAAAGTCATGCTGTAGTCGGCGTGGAATTCGCAACTTCCTTTCGAGCTTGATGAGTCGTTTTTGAAGATCATAGTGATGGATCAAATGGCAGTCGGGGTCTTGTAGTGCTGTTTCACAGGTTGTAGCAGCTATTCTCTTCCACTGCTTCCTTCGCTGCTCCAGATCCCCAGACCCCTCGTCATCACGCACAGTGGGCATGTAGTGCTCCTCCAGCAAGGCCTTGCGTTGATACCATGAGCCTCGCCGAGACAAGTGAAACAATTTCTGGTCTAACAATTCCTCAAGGAGTCCATGCTCACGAGCATATTCTTTCCGTCTCCCCATTACCCACATAGCCTTTACAATAATCCTAGTATACGAATGCGCAGGATTGAATCTCCTAAGGTAGGCACCCTCGCCCATTTCGTACACCATCCGCTCCTTTTCTCCCTCCTCGTTAACATATTGCTTCCATCGAGGGTAGACCATTTCAAAGATATCCATGATCCGTTGCAAATCCTCTTCGTTAGGAACTCCGCTAGACTCAAGTATGTTATCCACGTCTGCCTCCAGGCGAATACCCGCTTCAAATTCCAAAAGATGTAAACGTGAAGCAAATATGGTAGAGGTCCTGCATACAATGTACTCTGGGAAATTTCGTCTCGCAATCTTGGCCAGGATTATTGTGGTAAGTGATTTCTCCGTCCACTCAGTAGATCGATAAAACACCAAGTGTACTCGTTCAAAAAGCTTGTAGGTAAGCGGTGACAAGCGAATGCATGGTCCCAAAATGGCCAATATCTTGCTCAAAAAATGCTCGTTTCGATTTGAATTTTGCCGCTTCAGGGGTCCATTCTTGCAAGATCCGGCAGACTCCTGGTCAGAGACAGAAACGTCAGAATCGCGACTGTTCTGCCGGCTCAATCCAAGCGCCATCAGCCCAACTTGTTGTTGACTCATTCGACATAGACGTTTCACGAGTTCTGCCTTATTCTTTCCCTGGATCTTAGCATCCTTGGCCAATGCTTTGAGTTCATCCAAGAGCAAAAGCGATGCTGCTTCTTCAACACTGTTGATGTAGTCTTCAGAAGCATCAGCAAATGCGAAGCTTGCTCCCAAGTTGAACCTCTCGAGGTCAAATCCCGGAACTAGCTCCTCGGTGTCTTGGCTGTTTTTTGTTGGCAGTTTCTGGATGGCTTGCAAGGCTGCAATGGCCTCTTCTGGCTCTGAAATATCGGAATAGTATCCTAAACGGCTGGACCGATGCCACGTTGCGGTTTTTCTGAGAAACAGGCGAACATATCTCCCATAAAGTTAGACTCCATGCACAGTCGTGCATATAGCAATAGAACTTACAGATACTGTGCTTCGTATGACAATACTTTCCACCTCCTGAAAACTTCTATCTCTTTCTCATCAAACAGTTCCGATTCTTCTTCTAACACTGTATCGAGGGCGAGATTAAAGGCGTCCACATATATTGAGCTGCGTCCTTTGATCCATAAAGATTTGGTATTTGCGGTAGTACCATCATTGTCGGCCTCTTTTTGGGAAGACCTCGTCTGTTCATATTCCTCAATTGCATCGGCATCTGTCTGTGTGGGTGGCAGGACATTCTCAAATGCAGTGGCTTCATGCAGGTATGAAGTATCCGCATCTTCACTGTGGTGCGACCCCCGATTAGTCTTCTTTTGCGACTCATTTCCATGGTCAGACTCTTCAGAGTCTGGGAAGTCTGGGCCTGGGTTCTTGATTTCATCTCGCTTCACGCGCTTTGGCGCCCGCTCACCGGCACTATCACGGTGAGACGCAGACCGGCAGCTTTCATCGCTTGTGTCAGACCGGTGAAAATGTGTTACAAACGCATCCATCGGTATCAGCACAATGCGAGACGCGATAGCGTTTCCTGCGACATCGAGCGTTGTCGATCTGGCAGACGCGACGGAGTTGGAAAGCGCAAACACGAAGTCAGCTGACCGCGTTGAAACAACTTACCCAAGGACGCTTTTGCCTGAGCCACTTCAGCCACCACGGGCAATCAACCAGCGCGATCGCGGTCAACCCATCCACAATCCAGTAGTTCGAACCTTGCAGGCATAATTCTACGTGAAAAATCACTGGCAGCATGGCAGACGAAATACCCAAATCAGAAGCGACTCCAGAGGCTTCTCGCGCATCCCCTATGGTTGACAAGGCTCCGACCAGCAGCACCGCGGTCACCACCACGGCGGGGCACCAGCCGCCTTCGATCGACACACCTCAAAAAGATGTTGTCATGTCCGATGCTCCAATTGACCAGGCAGCGGTGCGTTATTTGAAGTGCAAAGCGCTCTGTTAAGCTATCACAGCTGGAACGTCGTATTCCGCTAACACGACGACACATAGTCACCGGCTCCTGCCAACCTAGCTCCCAGCCCAGCTCCAGCACGAACAGGCACTCCAGCTCTAGGTTCTCGAGCGCCGTCTGTACATCCCGACCCTGGCTTTACTATGCCTTCAGAAGCACCTGCACATGGTGATTCCACAAGAAGATACTTGAATACGAAAGTAACTGGTGTATTACTCGAGGGTATGAAGCAGTTGGCCAAGAACCAGTAAGCGACTTGAAAAAAAAAAAAAAACAGAGCAAGACATGCCCGTGTATTCTTACTGACTCAATTAGGCCAACGGACCCTCTACGATTTCTGGGCGAATACCTTATTCAGAGGTCAAAGGAATTGGAGGGCAATAATAGCTAAGTAGTGTAGACTCGGGGTTGGGACGCATTGTTGGACAAAACCACGCATAAGCAGGCGTTTAGGGAGCAATCCTTTAGGCACGATTAAAATGATACCACGGTTTCCAATTGAACGATTCAAAAGTTGGGCAGTCAAATTGCTTTCATTTTTTTGAGCTCATTCGACCATTCGTCACGGTCATCCAGACCAAGGACCAAGCATCAGGGCTTCTAAATGCAGGTTGTTCCATAATTTTCCTCCCCAACTCCGGGACCAAGTGAATCCGCCTTCCACGCGCTGCGACTATATCATCCTATTTCTCCGCTTTATGCGACAATGGTGGAGGCAGTAGCAGACTCGTACTTCCAGGTAGGAGGCAGAACGCCGACGGTCTTGTAGTAACGAGCCAGACGGTGGATTCGAGACTCGATGAGAATAAGGCGGAACTTGGAGTCCTTGTCCTTGCGGTTGCGCTCGAGGTGCTTGCGAACGGCAACAGCCTAGAGGGTAGCATGTTAGCACATTTCAAACATGGCCACAGGACCCGATGAAACGAGGCCAAAATTGCAGCACATGCTCGACATACCTTCTTGATCAGCATGTACAGGTCCTCAGGAAGCTCGGGGGCAAGGCCTGTCAAAATTCACTCTGTCAGTCTTGACCGCACAGAGGCAAAACAAGAGACATGTTTCTCTTGTGATATGTGTATTTCCTTCACCACATTCGTATCAAACGTCTTCAGGGTACCATACCGTTCGACTTCAGGATTCGCAGAATTCGGTTACCTAGCGTTACTCAGTTAGTAACAAAAGACATTGATCGTTCGCTTTTCAAGACGTACCGGTGACGATCTTGACCTGGGCAACACCGTGGGAGTCACGGAGAATGACACCAATCTGCGAAGGGGTAGCACCCTTTCTGGCAAGCTTGCAGATCTGCTCAACGACCTGCTCGGGGGTGGTCTTCAACCACGCAGGCGCGGCGCGAGAGTATGGGATCGCGGAGGCAGAAATGCCCTTTCCCTTGCTGTGAAGTCTACCCATCTTGGCTGTGTTCTCTTGCTGGTCGACAATGAAGGAATGGTCGGGGAGTTCAGTTGGCGAGGTCGCAAGTCTCGAAGTCTTGTGTGGAGCAGCAAATTTTCGCTTAGTTAGGGCAGAATGTGTGGGCAGTCGCAGGGACAGCCACAGCAGGGCAGCAGGGGCCGTTCAATCACATGCATTATCACGTGGTGCTGGTCCAGCTATCCAAGGTGGGGACCTTGGCGGCAGACTAACTTCTACTAATAATTTGGCAGCATGGCTTTTTTTTTCCTGATTCCTCTTCGTCCGCCTGGTGTTATCACTCCGAATTGCATACCAAGTCAATTGTCAATCTGCTGTCAATCAGCTTTTTAATGCTTAACTGTAAGTCGACGCATTTCTATCATGCCTACACATTTCCAAGGCGTACCTATATGATGATAAGAACACAATTGTTTCATTATTTCTGGTACCTCTTATGTTAGAGTCTTCGGACTCGATGAATGAACTGGACTTCTGATCTCTCGCCAACACCACACTTCCCACTTGTTTCATCAAATGCACGTCAGGATAGCATTTACTAACAAGAACGAAGATTCTGCAGAGCTTAATAGTCGCTATTAGTCTAGAAACCGCGTTGCGATTTTTGCCGTAGCTGTGCTGTTATTTTTAGTCCCATTTCATATTCCCACGACTCCAATTCCGCCCAGATCTGTTACAGGTCGCATTTTAAGTCAGGCATCATCCTCATCACCTTACAAGCCTTACTGTTTTACAAAAATAGAAGAATACAGATTTTTTTTTTTGAAAGATTTCCATTTCCCACGTCTAGCTAGCCAACTTATGTGTCTGCCCTGGGTTGCTCGATGCACCATGAGTGATTTCACCAGGCACCCACGTCGAAATTTTCCTAAGCATTGGATTAGCTACGAATACACTGTGTAAGGCGGCGGAGAAGGCTTACTTCAGGGAAGTATGTGGTAACGACGGTTCGGTCGGCAAACTTTCTGCCTGCCAATGCAGTCAATGCCTTGTGGCAAGAGTCTGGCGTGTCAAACTTGACGAATATCTTGCCAACTCCGGCAGACTGTCGGCTGCCACCCACTGGGCGGGGGATCTTAAGTTCCAGGATATTTCCAAACTTGGAGCATTCCTCGCGGACATCCTCGCAGATTTCTAGTAACATAATTAGTATGACCAAAGCCGTATCGTAGAAAACAACAACGTACCTTCGTATTCTTCTGTGTCCATTAGCTCCTCTGGGGTCACCATATTGAGGAGTTGAAGCACGCGTCCCTTCTCGGCATCGGTAGAAGTCTGAGAGGCGAGACCGCTGATGGCTGTGATGCCAACATCGAAATTGGCAACCTGAGTGGGACCAATGCTAGCCTTGGAGACTTTCAGCTTCTTGCCCCCGACGTCCATGCCATTTAAGGCGTTCAGCGCGGGCTCGTTGGCAGAACCGGGCTCGAGATATTCCGCAAAGGCAATACCCTATCACATGTCAGTATACAGTGTTGATGCTTGGATGTCACTTAAGAAAACACTACCCTTGATTCCTCAGTGCTGCTGTCTTTTACGAGAACAAATGCCTTCGGCTTTCCAAATGCAGCGAGGAGTTCAATTATCTGATCCTCGGTAAGGAACGTCGGGATGTTCGTGATGGACAACTTGTGCACCGTGTCAGGTACGACATTTGATACGACATTGGGGTCGTAAGCCATTTCCTCGGGGATAGCTGGCATAACGTAGTCCTTGGGGCGTCGAATTGATAAGCCCTGTTTCTCACCACCGTCTCCATTCATGGTGTCGTCTGCCTCCATATTTATGCCGTCCAAGGCAAGAGCCACCGTAGCATCACCAGCATTCCTGAATTCCAAGACTGCAAACGACCGGTCGGTTGAGAACTGGCAGAGGTTGCATGGATCTGAGCTCTCAATAACATTCAGGCCATTGAGCTGAAGGTTGAAAAAGGATAGAAGGTTCTCCTCGCTGTTTCCTTCGGGAATGTGGGAAACAATAAGACGCTTCGCTTGACGAGAGTTGCTTGCTTTCAGACCAGCACTCGAGACGCCACCATTTGGCTCTTTCATAAAAGCCTGGAGCTTTGTAGGGTCCATCGGCTGCTGTCGCGGGGCTCCGGGCAATGGGAACATACCCGACAGCTTTGCCTGTTCAGCCGTTACCAATTCGTACCCCGGTGGTTTAATATCCCATTGAGTCATCCTCCTCTTCCTTTCCAGAACCGGAGTAATGTCTGTCAAGTCCGGGGTGGGTTCTCGTGGCTTTGCAGGAGATGGGCTTCTGCGACTCTCTTGTCGTGCAAAACCATCATCTCGTCGATCTCCGCCCCGGCCACCACGGCGACGATCATCGACGCCTTCTCGGTCTCGCCTGTTGGGTCTATCGTCTTCATCGCGCCGGGCATCTCTGCGCGAGGAACCTCGATCTCGATCCCAGTCACGCTCTCCCCTTCGATCGCGTCCAGAATATCTGTCCTCTCGTTCTCTGTCGCGGTGGTTGCGGCTGGAGGAATAGGCATCTACATCACCACCATCTCCACGACGATGCCCACCACGATGGTCTGGTGACCTTGATCGTCTGCGATCACGGTGACGGTCCCCCCGATCCCGGTCTCTCTCACGGTCGCGGTCACGATCCCGGTCTCTATGGCGGTCGCGGCGGTCTTCTCGATCTCCCCTAGAAGTCTGTACGATGGTTAAATAAGGTAATTTGCGGTGGCTTGAGAAACTTACAGGATAGTCCCGACCGCTTCGGCCCTCTGCTTTGACACGGCATGAGGTTAGCAATGCTCCCAAGTGTTAAGGTTGATCAAAGATTTCAGGGTACGAACCGCCACGTGACGAATAACTGTCCCCGTTCATAATTCGCGACAACGAGTCACAACCTCGGGCGATCAATAGGCCGCACGAATCTGATGATTCGGGTATGTAGTCGGCAGCGTCGAAGATCTCGCTACGACTTGGTGTTCGAGTTTCAACTGTTCAACTCGGGCGAGGCTGGAGCTTTTTCGCTGCGAGGGACTAGCCTATTTTGGGCCTAGCTCAACTACTCGATGTGTGATTGTGGTGCCGGCAGAGCCCATGCAGCGGTTGATCCGCGGGTTCAATGCCAGGGTGCCAACCAAAAGTACCAAGGTACGTATCTTCAGACTTCAGGGTAAATCCACTCAATGACCTTCAGCCATTACAGGTAAATCGAACCTCAGGACTGGGTGGTTGGTTACCATTTTATTCATTATTCATTCAGTCTCTCCCTTCTTTTCTTTGTCTTTCATCTGGCAGCTACGTGATTTTGATTTCTATGATTACGCAGTAATGTGTGTAAAACGAGCAACGGAGTGGCGGAAGTTGCCTATGAGCCTCTCAGAGCTCTGCATCGACACGACATTGAGATGTGGTCAGTCGTTTAGATGGCGCAAAATAAGTGATGAGTGGTTAGTATTGCAGTGACTTTACAAATGGCGTGGCTTCTCACTGTTTATCAAAGGACATGTACTCTCCAAGGCCGGATACTGTCTCTGAGGCAGGACCCTTCCCATCTCCATTACAGGGTTACCTGGCCGGAATATCAGGATGCTCTTCCGACGCCGCCATCACGCAGAGTCACAGATGAACTCAATCAAGACGACACGGAGGAGCTTGTTCGTCGATACTTTAGCTTGAACCTTGACCTTGGTGCTCTATACGATCAGTGGTCAAAATCGGACCCTAATTTTCAGAAGAAAGCCCCTGAGTTTAAGGGTGTGCGAATTCTTAGCCAGGATGCCTGGGAAGCGCTGATATGCTTCATATGCAGCAGTAACAACAACATCAGTCGCATTTCTCAAATGGTGAATCATACCAAGTTGACCCGAGGATGTTTGCGTTTCCTAACCTCTACAGGTCCATAAACTATGCAATCATTACGGGCCCCTCATCGGCTACATTGATGGAGAACCCATGCACGACTTTCCCACTCCCGAATCTCTTACTGGCAAAAATGTCGAATCACATCTACGAGAGCTAGGTTTCGGCTATCGTGCGAAATATATTGCGAATACGGCTCGCGTAGTTGCCCTCGAGAAACCATCCTCATGGCTTGAATCGCTCCGTAATCCTCGACACTCTGGGCCCGGACTCTCGTCAAGTGCGGGCAGTAGCAACCCAACCTACAAGGGAGCCCACGAAGCACTGCTGTCATTAACTGGTGTCGGACCAAAGGTTGCTGACTGCGTATGTCTTATGGGCCTCGGTTGGGGTGAATCTGTTCCGGTGGACACACACGTGTGGCAGATAGCGCAGAGAGATTACAAATTCGGCAAGTCAAAAGCGAAGACGTTCAACAAAGCAATGTATGATGCAGTCGGGGACCATTTCCGGACCATTTGGGGTGACTATGCAGGATGGGCGCACTCGGTGTTGTTTACGGCTGATCTCAGAGAGTTTTCAAATCGCATAGGCAAGACTCAACCGGTGGAAGAGGTCGAACCGGTCCGGGTGAAATCCGAGATCCAGGAAGAAGTCATACTGAGCGGACCAAGAAAGAGGCGATCGGCTGTTGATGCAAAAGCGAGAAGCAATACAGTGGTCGAAAATGTAGGAGAGCGCAAAAGTATCGAGACGATCTCCTTACATAAGCGCAGAAGGACGCGGGGGAGCTCGTAGAAGACGGGGAGGAAAACTGTACGTCCAGACAAACACGGGTAGCTCGGATACCATATAACACAAATGACGATTGACACGTAAAAACCGCCAATCATATCGAATGGTTATATCAATTATTTGCAAGAAACAGAGAGCCCAGCCCAAGTGTACCATTTCTGACATGGACAAGATTGTCCAGCTTCCATGAGTGCACATGTGCCAAGAGTTCTGCATGGTCGGATAAACATCGGCAGGGGCTTGCCGCTACAGCTCTCTGAGACTTTTCGCCGCCTCAGCTTGGGCTAGCTGGAAAAGTCTCGTTCACCTTCAACCCCCAACCCCCATCGAGGCTGCCTATCCATGTGCAACGGGAACTCTGGAATTTCGTCTTGCGATCTGGAACCGGGATGAGGTGAACAAAAAAAGAAGAATTTGCTGAGTCAAGATGTCCGACGCAGATTTCGACACGATCGCGAAGCTCCAGCGCGAGCGAAACGCTGCGAAGAAAAGTTCGCGCGCGCTGGATGCGTCAACTCAGCGCAACGACGACAGGAGACAGAAGCTCACGGATAGCGCTGATAATGAGCTATATGAGCGTGATGGAGGCGACAAATTTGCAGGATACCACACGTCGCTGCCGATGGGGGATGAGGATGATGATATGGATGAAGACAATACCCGGCGGCTCGTGGGCCAATATACTGCATCGCGAGACATGATCGACGAGTTTGCCAGAGGGAATGGAGTGGAAGAAGATGACATTCTTGCGGGAAAAGGCGAGAAGAGCGGTCGAATTACTGACCGCGAAACCGACTACCAGAAACGTCGCTTTAATCGAGTTTTGACGCCTACCAGAGCCGATCCTTTTGCGGAGAACCGACAGGCCGGAGCCGCCGAGAATGGGGCAACCTACAGAGAAATCATGGAAGCCCGCGAACTAGATAAAGAGGAGGAACGTGTTCGAAAGGCTATTCAGGACAAGCTCAATGGCGAAGACAACGAGGCCGAGGCCCAGCCGACGTTGCGAGACGTGGACAAGGAGAACGCCGAGGCCGGATCGACTGAGGCTGTTACGGCAGGACGAAAGCGAAAGAAGAGATGGGATGTATCCTCTGCACCAGCTGAGGAACAGCCTCAGGATAAGGCCGAGGAGGTGAAGCCAAAGCGTTCAAGATGGGACCAAGCACCATCCATCGGCGACGGAGAGACTACCAAAAAGCGCTCCCGATGGGACCAAGCTCCTTCAGCGACACCCATGGGTAACCAAGGACTCGCTACCCCGATGCACCCAACTCAAGCTCCCGGTGCCTTACCGCCGGCCTTTGGAAACGATATCTCTGCCCGTAATCTCCCCCTCAGCGATGAAGAGCTAGATATGCTACTGCCGGGTGAAAATGAAGGATATAAGATTTTGGAGCCACCTCCTGGGTATGAACCTGTTCGCGCCCCGGCACATAAGCTGATGGCAACGCCAGCTCCAGCGACAGGCTTCATGATGCAGGATCCGGATCAAGTGAGGCTAGGGGGCAGACCGGTGCCGGCTGAGCTCTCTGGTGTAGGTGATTTGCAGTTCCTCAAGCCAGAGGATATGGCGTACTTTGGCAAGCTCAACGACGGAGCAGACGAGAACGCCCTGTCCGTGGACGAGCTGAAGGAGCGCAAAATCATGCGGCTCCTGCTTAAAATCAAGAACGGAACCCCGCCTATGCGAAAGACGGCCCTTCGGCAAATTACAGACAATGCGAGGAACTTTGGGGCCGGACCATTATTTGCTCAAATCTTACCACTTCTCATGGAGAAGTCTCTGGAGGACCAAGAACGCCATCTCTTGGTCAAAGTCATTGATCGAATTCTATACAAACTGGATGATTTAGTGCGACCCTACGTTCACAGGATCCTTGTGGTTATTGAGCCGTTGCTCATTGACCAAGACTACTATGCCCGAGTCGAAGGTCGTGAGATTATTTCCAACGTGGCAAAAGCCGCTGGTTTGGCGACTATGATTAGCGTCATGCGGCCAGATATCGACCACCCTGACGAATATGTGCGTAACACAACCGCCAGAGCCTTCGCGGTTGTGGCGTCTGCTCTCACCATTCCAGCGTTGCTGCCCTTTTTGCGAGCCGTCTGCCGAAGCAAGAAATCATGGCACGCCAGACACACCGGTGTGAAGATTGTTCAGCAGATTGCCATTCTGATGGGCTGTGCTGTCCTGCCCCATCTCAAAGGTCTTGTTGAGTGCATTGCTCCCAACTTGAACGATGAGCAGACAAAGGTTAGGACCGTGACCAGTTTGGCCATTGCAGCTTTGGCAGAGGCATCCAACCCATACGGTATTGAGAGCTTCGACGATATTTTGAACCCTCTGTGGACTGGTGCGCGGAAACAGCGTGGCAAGGGGCTTGCTGGCTTTCTCAAGGCGGTTGGATACATTATTCCTCTCATGGACGAGGAGTATGCCAATTACTACACCAGTCAAATCATGGAGATTCTCTTGCGAGAATTTTCTTCCCCCGATGAGGAGATGAAGAAGGTTGTGCTCAAGGTCGTCTCCCAGTGCGCAGGCACAGAGGGTGTTACGGCGGGCTATCTCAAGGAACACGTGCTCGATGAGTTTTTCAAGAGTTTCTGGGTGAGGAGAATGGCCCTCGACAAGCGGAACTATAAGCAAGTTGTGGAGACGACGTTTGATATTGGACAAAAGGTTGGTGTCAGCGAGATCCTGGAGAGAATCGTCAGCAACCTAAAAGATGAGAGTGAGGCGTACCGCAAAATGACGGTGGAAACCACTGAGAAGCTTGTGGCTAGTCTTGGCGCCGCAGATATCGGCGAGCGGTTGGAGGAGAGGCTGGTGGACGGCATTCTGCATGCGTTCCAGGAACAGAGCGTCGAAGACGTCGTTATGCTCAACGGCTTCGGCTCTGTAGTCAACGCCCTGGGCACACGGTGCAAGCCGTATCTGCCCCAGATTGTCGGCACGATTCGCTGGAGGCTGAACAACAAGTCTGCCACCGTGCGACAGCAGGCCGCCGATCTCATTTCGCGAATCGCCATGGTCATGCAGCAGTGCGGCGAAGACGCCCTCATGGGCGAGCTTGGCATCATCCTGTACGAGTACCTCGGTGAAGAATACCCCGAAGTTCTTGGGTCCATCCTGGGCGCCCTGCGATCCATTGTGACGGTCGTAGGTATCAGCCAGATGCAGCCTCCTATCAAGGACTTGCTGCCTCGCCTCACGCCCATTCTTCGCAATCGTCACGAGAAGGTCCAGGAAAACACCATCGATCTTGTGGGACGTATTGCGGACCGCGGGCCCGAGAGCGTCAACGCCCGTGAATGGATGCGCATCTGCTTCGAGCTGCTGGACATGCTCAAGGCTCACAAGAAGGGTATCCGACGAGCCGCCAACAATACGTTTGGTTTCATCGCCAAGGCCATCGGTCCGCAGGACGTCCTCGCCACGCTCCTGAACAACCTCCGTGTCCAGGAGCGTCAGTCTCGAGTCAACACGGCCGTCGCCATCGGCATCGTCGCGGAGACGTGCGCACCCTTCACCGTGCTCCCAGCCCTGATGAACGAGTACCGGGTCCCCGAGCTCAATGTGCAAAACGGCGTGCTCAAATCCCTCTCCTTTTTATTCGAATACATTGGCGAAATGGCCAAGGACTACGTCTACGCCGTAACCCCTCTCCTAGAAGACGCCCTCATCGACCGGGACCAGGTCCACCGCCAAACAGCCGCATCTGTCGTCAAGCACATCGCCCTCGGCGTCATTGGGCTCGGCTGCGAAGATGCCATGGTCCATCTGCTGAACCTCCTCTTCCCCAACCTGTTTGAAACCAGCCCCCACGTCATCGACCGCATCGTCGAAGCCGTCGAAGCCATCAGGATGTCTGTCGGGCCGGGTGTCGTGCTCAACTACGTCTGGGCAGGCCTTTTCCACCCGGCCCGCAAAGTCCGCACCCCATACTGGCGCCTCTACAATGATGCCTATGTCCAGTGTGCTGATGCCATGGTCCCGTACTATCCAAACCTGGATGAGGAGAAGATTGACCGGCCTGAATTGGCGATTGTATTGTGAGAAGAAGGGGGGGTGGAGAGGATATCCCTGGTTGATGTAGGTTTCTATCAACAGCGCGTTGGGCTGGACGGATTAAAAATAAAATACGGCGGGAGTGTATAATTGGTCCTTTGCAAAGTTTTATTTTGTCTGGGGTAATTACGCTGGGGCATTTTGTAATGTTGTAAAGAAAAACGGATTGCGGGAGCATTTTAATGCGCAACAGGCGTTTTTCTTACCCTTTTTTTTTTTTTGCTATATAGCCAGAACTGTATTATTGATTGACTTTTGCCCGTGTCCGTCTGTGTTGCCCGCCATTTGTGGCACGTCTTGTGAAGGACAGAGAGTACGTTGCATACTGATACCTTGGGTAGCTTCTGCTAACGATATTGTCAGCATCGGGTATCTCCGTCTCTGTCTCTCTCTTGTAGGGGGGAACTGTTGGACTCGACCATGCCCCTGATGTGTTTCCCAGGGATGAGAGTAACGGGCAATCAACGATTGTGTTTTTACGGCGGTGCCCGGTGCTCATTTCAGTGTCAGGATGTGTCCATGCAACAACACGAGGCTCATCAGGGCAGCTTTTGTATTCGGCCCCGGGTGAAGAAGCCAGAAAGGTACGTCGTTTCAATCACTTGGCTTTACAGTTTGGCCGTCAACTGCTCGCGATTCTCGGCATGAAGGGACATAACTGCGTGAAGGGCATCGGCCAAAACTCGGCAATGCGAAAGAAGAAATTTACTTGGTCGAGGCATCTTTTGCCAGCCTTGCAATATGATCTGTTCTCAACAGCTAGATATCAAGCGTCGACCATGTCACTCACAAGAATATAATTTTCATCACGCCAGAGAGTCAACCACCCGGTTCTCTCCGCCCCAACGTCAACGACATATGTATGATATGGCCGCCACATCCAAAGCACAATCGAGTTCGGTATACAGGTGTACTATCCTGATTCACGTCCAGCTTCAGCGACACGTCCCCTCTGCCCTAATCCACCACGCCTAAACCATCATAACCCGCTGCTTTCCCCCTGGTATAAAAGAACGCATCTTGAGTTGCCCATACATACACCTCCAAGTTCCACAAGACATAAATGGTCCTTGCCACGAGTCAACAAAGCCGCAAGCGCCACGTCCACCGGCTGAATGGCTTTTTTCCTTCTCACTCTCTCGCACTCCGGGATTCCATTTGAACGCCCTAGTCATACAAGCGAGCCCATACTCCTCGTGGTCATGCCGGTTCTCCCATCCACATTTTGTCTTACCATGATCAGGCAAGTCAACTGGCATAGTGGGTATCGTGCGGTTTTCTCTCGTCTTCTTCTGGGACCATGTCTCACACGCCCCATCCCTTTTATTCGCTCATATCGTGGGTTTGTTGCAAAATCCATAGGAGAAAAAAATTCAAATCTTTCCTGATGAAGGCACTCGGCTCGGTCTCGTCGGCATTTCGCAGGCTACCTACCCACGTAAATACTCCGTACATGCCCGTGCATTTCGTTCCTGGCTCATGGCAAGGGGACATACGGGCGCGGCAACCACACCTTGCACAGAACAGACGCTGGATACCCCAAGTCGGAGGGTTGCGCTTGGCAAGCGTAGGACGGTCACGCCGGGTCAGACGCGTATCGGTAGACCCGAATTGCTGGATCGGAGAATGGACGATGCAGTAGAAAGGTGCCCCGGAGCGTGCGCCGGATTGGTGAGATGTGGCTTGGGCTAGCGGCTTATTTGTTCTCTTTGCCGCCGATTTCGGTAGATGTAGACATTGAAAGTGACTGGTACGTTATTTCCACAGGGGAGAATGCGATGTGAAACCAATGCCTTGAATTTATTCCGCTGCTACACCTTTCCCCTGCCTATTACTCCGTACTAAAGCTGAACAGGTATTGACGCGTGATCAGCAAAGGAAGCATTGGCTACATGTTGGATACTGTAGCGGCGAGAAAACGATTTAGATAGAGGTCAGACGGGCCTTGCAGCGGGCGTGCTGTCCTTGTGGCAATGCCAGACGCCGCGATATCCGCCGCGAATAACCAGGCCAGTTGTTTGAGGCCCGTTGCCCCGACGATTGTGAGTAGTATTTGTTTGCTGGCCGTACACGGGGTACTCCGTAGTTAGAAGGCGGTTGAGAGGGCTTACGAGACATTCTACTCGGTACCCAACGCGTGGTTCATTCAGATTGTGTGAGTGTGTGACGGGTTTCTGAAATCTCCTCAAATACAGGGCATGTGAGCAATATCGTGTTCTTTTGTCTCGAGCAGGCTGTATGCACGCAGTGATGCGTACGTCGATACACGACAATGGGATCAGCCATTGCCCATCGCCCATCGCGTATTGCAGCCATTAGCTGAGTCCATCTGAAAAGTCGCCAGCCTCCTTGTGGCCATTGAATTCAATGCCAGGGGCGCGTCTAGCCACTTGGAATGTGCGTCAGGGGCGCATTCAGTTCTGTCAAGATCAGATATGTGTCAGCTCAACGTGGCGTGCCTGTCAATACCAAACTCAACCTGGGCGAGAGACAAGTCTTGAATGGTGTCTCGGAATCAGGCCTTGCGGGATGCCATCTATGAACTGCGAAAGCTACTAGTCGGCATGGCGAATGATAAATGATAGCCCAAGCAGCAGGGAAAATATCCTCCTCAGCCTATATCGGATGGCCTCATTGCACGCCGCACAGCAAATGAGCAATCACTGTGAAAATAATCACGCTCAAGGCAACGCCAGGGCGTACTTATTAGGGCATGGCCGACAAACAACACATGCATACTTACATGTTCTTCCGCGTGAGTCGCGCCGCCACCGCCATGTCTCGGCGATTCTACGGTAGAGTCACTCATGTCTTCCCATTTCAAAGTCAGGCAATAAAAAAGGGCTTGATTTTGCTTGTCCTTCGTGCGGGGCATTGAACATGTTGGACTTGAGTGACGACGCAACAGAGGAAGAATGGACCGAGTGTCCAACCATGTACGCATGATATGTGAAGAGTCTCCATATGCGCTGGACTCATCGGATGTCATTGCCACTGAGTAGAGCAGTGAGAGCACAGTGCTGTGAAAAACGCACGGTAGAGAGTACCAAACCGCATGCTGGTGAAATGGCAATGAGAACATTGAAGGAGATGGATTAGTACGTAGCGTTAAATTTCCGTAAGACACGAGGGGTCCACCCAGTAAAAGAAGCAATAAACTTGGCTTTCCCCCCGAAAGCACTGTCACTACGCCCTTGATCCTTCAACCCGTTACCATGTAGTTACGGAGTATCCCTTGAGAGATCCAGTTGCGTTAGGTCCGACAACCAAGCTCAGTCAACGAAATTGTAAGCATGATTTATGTCTCTCCCGTTACGGGCTGACGTGAAAAACAGCTCGACCAAGGCGCCAGGAGATAAGTTAGCGTCGGCCGCTTCTTTCAGCAGTGAAGCGGTCTCCGTATCCAGCGGCAAGATGCGAGCTTCTCACACGTCCGTCGGTAAGCTGGTCGTTCCGCCGCGTCCTTTCCGGCTGCCGCTACCCTGTACTATATGTGAGTTTGGTTTCCAGTCCGTCCTCGGCGACTGGCATGACAAGTTGCATATTGTGTCGATGGGAATATGTACTCCGTTGCATTTCATCATCGAAGTAGATCGCGGGCAAGATCCGATCGAGGGTGCGCCCGTCACAGAAAAATATCACATTCAAGCTTTGATCGCCAGTTTCCCCAGGGAAACTTCGAAGAGCATGAGACCCCGAAGATCCTGTTGATCGCTGTTGCCACGTGCATTGAATATCGCCGGCTCAATGAGTACTTTCCGAAAATAAACCTAGCTGGGCTTGATATGTCGTCTTCTGATTGAAATCATGAAAAAAAATCATTCAAGGCCGCCTTGTGTCATTTTACTATTTGGCCAAGTCAGTTGTAGTACCAAATGATTCTGTCATGTTTCGCCGCCGTTGGGCCCTTTTCACAAACTCCATGTCGGCATCGAATTTCCTCGATGGGGGTTTACGGAGTAGGCATCCAGCAACAGTACATACATATATCCAGGTCGTGTAGCGAGCCACCGTGGTATCCGTGTATCCGTGGTCTCAAGACAGGCCTACCTGGTACTTAAACTATTGGCGTGACAACTCAGTTGCGCACAATGCCTCGTGTGCAGTTGATTGAACACAGCACGGTGTTGAACCCAGCGAGGCGATTGCATAAGCTACCATTTGGCTTCGAGAATCCACTCGACGGCGGCCATGGCCTGCAGCCGCATAGCCACACCTGCTTTTTTGTCAACATCGCGTCCGAGGGTAGCGGGTCTGTGTGTTGCTTGGCATGCGGTACGGCCACCTTGCGATGGTGGCTTATCCGGAGACAACAATACCCGTCACACTTGACGGATATCGCAGAAGAGTCGATATGATGAGGCGGCTGGCTGGCTGGCTGGCTGGCAGGGCCGTGCGTAGATGAGACGTTCACCACGCCAAGTTGCCTAAGCAAGGCGTTCCCCTCTGCATCAGGGTGACCCATGCCCAACGGCATTTTCTCGTCGTAATTTAACGCGCATATCCGGCGCATATGAGTGCATACCGATTTGTGATGAGATACCCAAGCTGATTGAACAAACCCAGCTAGTTAAAAGCCACGCGAGAACCTAGAAAGACGAGAAACAAGAGAAATGAAGACCCAAGGATTGGGAGTAAATCATGATTGGTGCCACAGTTCCCACTTGCGACAGGGTTATTTCCAACAACTGCCGTGCGTTGCCGCCTGTTGACTGACACTTGTCCCTGAGACGGGAAACGTGATCAAAAGATGGCGGATTTGACAGACATGAGTTATTAGCGACACCATTTTCGGGTTGGACGACATGCCATACCGCATCTAACGGGTAATTGGAGCAAACCAGCCTCCTCTGGCCATGTAATTGCCTTTGCAACACATACATACCCCGTATATGTACATGCGTATATTTGCGGACGTGGAGTTCGTGGCTGACCAGGGACTTTGGCTTAGGCCGACTTCTAAGGCCGACTTCTGGCCCGGATTTTGG